CTGGGGCGGGACCTGGGGTGGGGCGGGGCTCAGGCTGGGGCGGGGCTCTGGTGGGGCGGAGCCAAGGCTGGATGGAGGGCGGGACTGGCTGGTGGGCACAACCCGAGGGCTCAGTCTATCTGCCAAGTGGGGCCTGTGATGCCCGCGGGGAGGGTGGCAGAGAACAGCCCACTGACCCTACCCTCCTGCTCCCCCCAGGAGCCTGGTACATCATTCCCATTCTCATGATTTACATCGTCATCCAGTACTTCATCTTCCTCAAGTGAGGCCCCGCCCTGCTCTGCGGCCCAGCATCACTGCCTGCTTCCCCCCACCCACCCCCGGCTGCTCCCCACCCCTCTGACCCTGGTCATGCCACACTGAACAGAGGAGGGGACAGGGCCTGTCCTACAGCCTCGTCCTTGAGAGCACCCCCCTGTCCCTCCTCCCCAGCCTGGTGATCGCTGTCCTGGTGGATAACTTCCAGATGGCACTGATCAAAGGCCTAGAGAAAGTGAAGCAGGAGGTACTGAGTGCTGTGGGGCAAGTGGCGCAGATCCACAACGAGGGGGCCCGGGTGCTCCAGGCACAGGTGGGCATGGGCCTCAGGCAGGACTAAGGCCTCTTCTTCACAGAGGGCCGCCCGCGTCCATGAGAAGCTTCTGGATGACTCGCTGACGGAGCTCAGCCAGGAAGGTATGGCCCTGCCCGCCCTTGCCCCACCTGCTCAAGCTCAGGGTGGGTCAGCTCTCCACGCCCGCAGCCTCCTTCCACAGTCACACACACAATTCCAGGCTCAGTTTCAGAGGTTTAGAATCCGAGATGCGGGAGGACTTTCACAGTGTAGAACCTCGGTCCAAAGGGCTCTAGGACAATCCTCCAAAAGACAATTAAACTCAGAGTTAATTCTTGAAAGACCCACTTGCTAAAAGGCTAATTAGCCAAATTGTGATTCACCAACCCCCCGTTTCTGTTAATCACTTATAAAGTTCATAGCACTTGGTCTTCCATGGGATGGTTTCAGCTGCCTTTGTGGGTTTCGTCAAGAGCCACTTGTCCAGAGCCACTCGACGTGGATTGAGAATCTACAAAAATGAAGTAAGTTCATAGCACTTGGTCTTCCATGGGATGGTTTCAGCTGCCTTTGTGGGTTTCGTCAAGATTACACACACTTGTCCAGAGCCACTCGACGTGGATTGAGAATCTACAAAAATGAAGTTTTTTTTATTGTGGACCTAAAAGGAACTGAGGCTGAACATATAAAGCATAGGAGTTATTGAGCCAGTGTGACGATTGCAATTGGGGAAACACATAGGTCAGGTCGCCCTGAGAAATACGCTGCAAAGAGGCCAGCAGAGCTTAGCATTTTATAACCACAGGAAGGGGGAAGAATCAAAGGAGAGAGAGACAAGGACAGCCCCGCCGTATCACTTAGTCAGTTTTCTGTTGGTTGTACATGCGGTACAGGCTTGGGATGGTTACTAGGTTACATCCTACATGCAGGCATCTAGGGCAGGGGATACAAGAAGCATGCTAAGGTTATTTGATGACCTTCTGGTGCCATCGAGTCTTCTTCTAAGTAAAAATGGTCTTATGAGAACATTTCCCAGGACATGCAGATGGGACTACTGACTTGTCCCAGGTCTCCCAAGGCACTACAGTTTAGCCACCTGGTCAGAGCAGATTTCCGTGTTATCACTATACATGTTCATTTCACACACCCCCGACTTTCCGAGTGGATTGATTTTGAGCCAGCTGGTTTGCTTCCTGCTTAAAGATCCTCAGAACTTTAGATTCTGAGCTCCAGAATCTCACTGTTATAATCAACACCAGAGAATCAAGGGTCCTCAGAGGTTACCTAGTCCCTCACCTGTGCTCTCCAACAGGAACCGACACTCAAATTACTTAACAGGTTGAGGGCGCATCAGCTTTCAGGAGTGCTAGATCCAGGACTCAAACGATGATCACAGGATTTGGTCTCCTTCCATATCTCCACTCCATAGCCCTCTGTGTGATTTTGTTCTTATGACAACTCTTCCCTTGTAGTGGCAAAATGTGCACTTGCAACTCTAGTCCCAAATCCTTACAGATGAGCCATCCCTAGCCTCCCAGCAGAAAGAGGTCCTCTTCTCCCAGCACTCCCGGTGAAGTCCCAGAAATTAGCATCCTTTGCTCTGATCGAATCACTTGCCTAGTTCTCAACCAGTCACTGCAGCTGAAGAGTAGGCTGCTCTGATCAGCCAAACCTAAGTCACATGTCCTTGAGGACAGGGGTAAGTGAGACCAACTCCAGCTAGACAACATGGACTGAAAAGGGGTAGGGTTGTTGCCCAGGAAAATAGGACACTTTCACTAGAAGAAGAGAGAATGGAAGCTGGACAGACACACGGCTCCACACTCCAAGCCCAGAGAAGCAATCTCTTTGGGGGCACCCTGAACAGAAACTCCTTTAGCCCGTGTTTGAACATCTCCATGACACACGGGGTTTCTCCCACCTCCTCTCCGAATCCAGCCATCTTCTTGACCTCACCCTTCTTTCTCTCCATCTAGACCCTGAAGAGATCATGAGTGATACCACTATGCAAAAGCAGCTCATTGAGAGAAAGTTTGGGGCCATGACTGAGAAGTGAGAAGATGCAAGGGAGGGGAGAGGTCTGGGGGCCTGGCTGGCAGCTGGGAGGGAAAGAGACATTGCCCACCTCTCTGGAAGGGAGCTGGAAGCAGAAGGCAACTGTATAAAGCTGGGGGTGGCTGCTGCACACCACGTTTATCATGCACCACCCGGACAATGCCACCAGCAGGGATTCCACTCATCTCTTTACTCAAGAAACATCCCCAAACCTTGTCAAGGCCAGCCCTGGGAGCACTCAAGGGACCCAAAGAGGACACAGACTCACGGTCTGCCCATGAGGGCCCCACCTCTACAGATGTGTTCTGGGTCATGGAAGAAGGGGAGACGTCAGCAGGTGGAGGGAGGAGGTGGTGGGGTGAGGGAACAGCTCAGGTACGGCCTGGAGGCCCAAGGCCACCCTCCGTCCCTGTCCACATAGTGGCCAGCTGAGCCAGGACAGCTTCCTCCTCCTCTAAGGCTAAGCCCCACCATGGCTCCTGCCCCCCTCACGATAAGGCCCAGGCTGCTTGCTTTGACCTTGCCTGGTGTCTCCACCTTCAATTCACCCAGCCCCTGAAACAGCCTTCTCTGAAGCCTGCCCCAGGCCCCCAGTTATGCTCCCTGCTGTCCTCACACCTTGGAGCCCCAGGAACCCTGCCCAAGGCTGCCAAACACTCAAACTCAGCTCCATGACGCTTCCCCCAGAAGCCTTTGCAGACCCCAGCACTGGCTGAGTTTCCCTCCTCTGGGTCCCTCTGCACCCCGAGTTTACACCAACCACCATGTGTTCCTTGTTGTCTGGCTCTAAGAGGAAGGCCGTTTCTGATTCATCTGTCTATCCACTGGGCACCTTGCAGTGTTCGTGGTCGTCAGTGTTATTTGATGGATGGGTTGGTAAGACGGGTAGGTGACGAGTGAATGGCTGGATGGGTGAATGCCTATTTGGGTGGGTAAATGAGTGGGTGGGCGAGTGGTCAGGGCACGACTGCACAGCATGGCGAAGGTGTAGCTCGGTGGGTGGGTTTATGCAGGAAGAGCAGGTGGATGGAGGGACAGGTGAGTGTGGACAGGTGGACTGGCTGGATGGTGAGGGAATGGACAGGTAGATGGGTGGATGGACGGGCACATGGTTGAATGGGTACCTGGAGAGGTATGGGGCAGATGAAGGGCCAAGCGGGTGGGTAGATGGGTGGGTAATGGGGGACGGACGCTTCTCACAGTGATACTCAGAAGCCTCCGTGGTACCAGCACACGTGGGGGCACTGTTAGGTGTGGAAAAGGACACGCTCTGGAAATAGTGATCTAGGGTGACGTAAGTTTCCAGGGGAGGGAGAGGCAGGCAGGAAGAGCCATGTAGGTGGCTCTGGGGGCCCAGAAGGCCCAGCAGGCAGGTCAGCCCAGCCCTTGCCTCTGCCGTCGCCCCCAGGCAGCAGGAGCAGCTGTTCCACTTCCTGCAGCTGGTGGCCGCGGTGGAGCATCAGCAACAGAAGTTCCGCTCCCAGGCGTCGGTCATCGATGAGATTGTGGACACTGCATTCGAGGTGACCAGGCAGGACGGGGGGAGGGGCGATGCACGAGGCTGGGGACCTCTGGGCACTCGTGCCCAGAAGTGGCCATGGGTAACAGTACCCTGCGCATTGGGGAGGGCAGAGGCTGGCACCGGCTCATTCACCCTCCTGTGCCACCCTGCAGGCTGGGGAAGAGGACTTCAGGAAGTGACCCCTGGAGAGGGACACCAGAGAGACTTCAGCGTCTGACAAGCTGTCCACGGGGGTGGGTTGGGACAAGTCCCCACATCTGCTGGAGTGATTGTCCTGGCCCTGCAAGGTTGGGGCCCCAAGAGAGTTTTAAAACCCCACATGGCTCCGTGTCCTCACTGGCTGGCCCGAAGCACAGGGTGGGGAACTTGTGTGCGTGCGCGTGTGAGTGTGGCACGTGAAGGGGGCTGTGTGGGGTCTTCTCTGGCTCACCAGGGCCCGGCAGCCTAATCAGCCCACCACCGCATTGGCAGCAGCCAGAGGGGTGACGCAGAAAGGGGCCAGGCTCGGGTGCTGGCTGTGGCAGGAGGGGACAGAGTGGGCAGTGACCCTGCTTGGGAAAGAGGGCCTGCCTGGCCCAGGAGTCAGGAGAAGACCATGCTGGAAGAGCCTGGAGGTGTGAGGGCCTGGGCCACCAGGGGACTCCAGGAATAGGGGCTCAGGCCTACCAGGACCCTCAGCATCTACTGTAACGGAGCCAGTCCCATGGAGATGTCATGAACCCAGAGGTGAGAGGTCATTGCCGTAGCCTGTGCCTCCTGGGGTCAGACTGCAGAGGCTCAGTGGGGAGGGAGGGCGGGCACTGCTCGGGTGCTCGTGGGCTCAGGGCGGGGTGGAACCGTGGTGTGTGTGGCGGGTGTCCCGCTGCTGGGGGGGGAAGCAGGACAACGAGGCTGAGGGCTGCCCCCACCCTGCCTGGTTAGGGCTTAGATGAGTCCCCTACATACAGCTTGAGCCTGGGCAGGATGGCCAGAGCCCACGTCCCCACTGGGGTGGCACAGGAGCACTGGCCTGTGCTGGGAGCTGGAGACCTAGCACTGAGTCCAGCTCCGGCCCAGCTGTGGCCTGGGGCTCCCCATCCACGGTGGGGTGGGGGTGTCACTGTCTTCAACAGCCACCTCACCTCTAGTGGAGGCCATCCTGGGTGTAGCATAGGCTGGAGGCAGTGTTGGTGGCACTCCCGAGTGGAGGCTGAGGGACACACAAGATTTTGCCATCCCCCACCCCCATCTCCGGGCTGGACCAGACAGTGGAGGAGCCTCAGGGCCGCAGGACAGAAGCAGCACCTCCCCTGGGCGCTGCCTGGCTCAGGGCCCAGGAATGGACCGTGCAGGGGAAATGCCACCTGGGATTTGGACAGATTCCAGGGGTGGAGAGGCCACCTGGCAGACGTCTCCGGACCTCCTCCCCACCACCTCACACATTCATTCAACAAGCAGACGTTTCCTGCCACCTACCCTGGGCCACCCCCTGCTGGGCCTCGTGCTTGTGCTTGAGGGCACCTGGGAGCTCGTCCAAGCAGCACCCACCCCCGCCCCGGGCTGTCTCAGCTGCCACATGTGACAGGCTTGAGCAGAAGCAGGACTGGAATTTGTCCCTGTTTCCCTAACTCCTGTCAGATGCAGCCCCTCAGACCCCGAGGTGGAGTCAGTGTTTATGTCCCACCTCCCCAGCTCCACCCCAATGTGGCTATGGGACAGAGGGCAGGAACTGTACCTGGGCTGCTCCTCCTGAGGCCCAGCCTCGGACAGGCGACCAGGCAGGCAC